ACCACCACCGCCGCCGCCACCTCCTCGACCACCCCAACCCCTGCCGCCGCCGCGTCCACCGCCACCCCCACCACCGCCTCCGCCCCTGCCACCTCCCCCGCCGCTGCCGCCACCACCCCCTCCGCTACCACTAGCCCCACCAGTCCCACCACCACCCCAACCGCCGCCACCACCCCCACCACCGCCTCCCCCGCCGTCACCACCTCCTCCCTTGCCCCCTTTGCCCTTGCCGCTGTGGCGCCCGCTCGAAGCAGACGCAGTACCGACCTTCTCAGCACCAAGGAGGTCGACAGCAGCAGCAGAGGCGATAGAGGGAAGAAGGGGGGAAGGAGAACACCCCTCAAAGAACGGGGTACGGGGTTCGCCATGAGAGGCACCTACAACTACGATGCTAGCCTCAGCTGCAAGCAGTTCCTTCTCGAGGAGGGCAATGGTGAGCTCAGTGGGGCAGCGAGCTAGGAAGTGATCCCTGACAGCACGCAGAGTGTCAGGGAGGCGGGTGACTAGGTGGTAGAGAGTGAGCCAGAGTGGGGGGGGGTGCGTGGCAAGGAACTCATCAGGCATGGCGGCACGGAAGCGGGCCTCACTAGTACGGAGGTGCGTGATGAGGTTAGCGACTGTGTGGAACGAGGCCAGGTCGGGAAACAGGTAGGGGAGGGAGAGACGGCCTAGCGTGGCAGAGGCAGGTGAGGAGTAGCGAGCAACGACAGCTGTGTACAGTGCCTGTGCAGTCTTGTGCTGGCCAAAGTGCTCGCGCTCGTCTATCGGCAGGGAGTTGCGAATAGCGAAGCGAGCGTGGGCATCACGAGTCTGCCACTGTGAGCGAGCAGTGCTGTCAGCAGTAGCAGCAGGGGCAGTGACATGGCCTAGGGCGTGGTCGTACAGTGAGATGTCGTCCTTGGCTGTGAGCTGTAGATAGAGGTGCAGGTCGTCTAGCCAGGTGTCAAACTTCACTGGGCGGCCCTCAGCATCGAAAACTAGCACCTGTGGGCTAGCCATAGGAGCAGTAGGAGTAGCAGTAGGAGTAGGAGGATGAAGCAGGTAGGGCGGCTCGGTTTAGGTAGGGCGGCGCGGCTCGGGTGGGGCGACGCGGTTCGGTTCGGGTCGCGCGGCTCGGCTCGGGTCGCGCGGCTCGGCTCGGGTCACGCGGCTCGGTTCGGTCCTGGGCGGCTCGGTTCGGTCCTGGGCTGTGGCGGTCACGGGCCGTTTGGGGCCTCTAGGGGCGGTGAGCGCGGGGCCGACGGGGCCGTTCGGGGCCTCTAGGGAGGTGAGCGCGGGGCCGTAAAGGGGCCTCTAGGGGCCGACGGGGCCTCTAGGGGCCGATGGGGCCGTTCAGGGCCTCTAGGGAGGTGAGCGCGGGGCCGACGGGGCCGTAAGGGGCCTCTAGGGAGGTGAGCGCGGGGCCGACGGGGCCTTTCGGGGCCTCTAGGGAGGTGAGCGCGGGGCCGACGGGGCCGTTAGGGGCGATCGCGGGGCCGACAGGGGTCGCTAGGGGCAAGCGCGTGAACCGTTCGAGGCCTCTAGGGGCGAGCGCGGGGCCGTAAAGGGGCGAGTGCGGGGCCGTAAGGGGCAAGCGCGTGGGCCGACGGGGCCTTAAGGGGCGGGTCGCGGGTCGCTAAGGGGCAGGTCGCGGGTCGCGGGGCCTTAGAGGGCCGTGAAAACCGAGGCGCCCTAGGGCGCAAGTAGGTAGGTAGGTAGGTAGGTAGTGGTGAGCCCTAAAAAATCGGTCCTAGGAAGGACCTGCTCTATACCATGTTGAAATGAATGAACAGGAATGGATGAACTAACAGTGAAAACAGTACAAGTACCTAACCCTAGAATTGTGTACCCCCTATAGGCTAACCCACTGTAGCCTAAACAAGCAGAACATATATAATGTTTGACACGAAACATTTGGGCCGTCATGATAGACAGCATCAAGCAGCAGCAGTGGCGAGGACTCTGCCCGAGCAATTCATAACTGTCTGGAGTCGCACGGTTGGATTTCGCTGCAATAAGGGAATGTACTCGAGTACATGGCTAGCAAGGTCGTTTTGTATCCCACCCTATACTTCTATTTATATGCTTATATTTGCATGTTCTAATCATCTCAATCATTTTTCATTCACTCTGAATTGAGGTCAAGGGCCCACCACTACCAATCAACTGTGTGCCAACCTTCCTGAGGTGATCCTACGGACGATCAACCTTTGATCGCAGCTTTGGTAACAAACATTGGTACGGTAATGTTAGACTTGTCAGAATGTTATGCTTTAGCCTGTAGTGGGGTGCTCTATAGCGAGTACAACCCTTCTAGGGTTTGCTATTTGTATTCTCATTCTTGCTAGTGCAATCCTCTCTTTTGCCTAAACTGTCTCTTGCCTAGCTAGGACTCTCCTAGCTATGGCTCCTACTTCTCTCTAATATTTACACATGGAATCAGAGCTATATGCTCCTGGCGTGTGGGCCCCACTTCACTGCTTCCGCTGCTACTGCTACTCCCTGTCCGCCGCGCGCCCCGTGGTGCGCGGCGTCGAGATTAGGGTTTTCATCCCGCCGCGCGCTCGGAGCGTGCGGCGGTTTTCTGCCCGCCGTGCGCCCCGAGGCGCGCGGCGGTTCTCTGCCCGCCGTGCGCCCCGAGGCGCGCAGCGGGTTTCTGCCCCGTCACACCGCGCGTTGCTCCCGGGAGGCGCTGCGACGGGCGACGGGGACCTGCGTCGCCCCCCGTCGCCCGTCGTGGCCTGCGCGCGGCCCGTACAGCCGGCGCGCGGCCCGTACGGGCTGCGCCAGGCCTGCGCGCGGCTCGTACGGGCTACGCCAGGCCCGCGCGCGGCCCGTACGGGCTGCGCCAGGCCCGCGCGCGGCCCGTACGGGCTGCGCCAGGCCCATGCGCGGCCCGTACGGGCTGCGCCAGGCCCGCGCGCGGCTCGGGCCGCATGCGCGCGGTTCGGGAGGCTGTGCCAGGCCCGTGGGCGGCCCGTTCTTTGCTGCCCCTGTCCTCCCCGCTGTCCCCCGTGCTTCTGAAGGCGCCCCACCCCTCCTTCTGCCCGTTCTCCCTGATTAGGGTTTGGGGGTGAGGGGTATGGGGGTGCAGCTTCTGTGTGCCGTTCCCTGCTCCTCCTCCTCCTCCGTCTCGCTGTGCTGCAGCTGCCGCTGAGGGGGGGTGGACCTGTTGGAGCTGTCGGAGTGGTACTCAGGGGGGGTGAAGGGGGAGTGGAGCTAGGGGTGAAGCAGGGGGTGTGTGTCAGGGGGGGTGGTACTGTTTGGGGGAGGTTGAACGGAGGTTGCCGTCGTGTCGCCAGCAGCACCTGTAGTCCGGGGAGTTGCTCCGGTAGCCCAGTCGTAGCCACCTCTGCCAGTCGCCCGTGGGTCCATTGCTCGTCTGCCGCTACTTTTAGCCGCGGGGCCAGTTATTCCAGTAGTCCGGAGCGCTGTTCCGGTAGCCGCTGTGCCAGTGTGCCTCCTGTTGCCCGTGTGTCTGCAGCTTCAGCCGTCGCCTCCTATCTCCTCTCCTCTCACTCTCTCTCCTCCTCCTCGCTTGCCCGTTGTGACTACCACTAGCTTTGCTCATAATTGTACCCTTTAAACTATTGCTTCTTGAACTTGTGCTCAGAATGTGTAGTGACATTGTGATCCACCCTGAGCTTGTTCTGCTTTGCTTGCTCTGCTGATTACACCCCACTTTGGCTATGGGGGTGTGTCAGAATGTTATGCTCTAGCCTGTAGTGGGGTGCTCTATAGCGAGTACAACCCTTCTAGGGTTTGCTATTTGTATCCTCATTCTTGCTAGTGCAATCCTCTCTTTTGCCTAAACTGTCTCTTGCCTAGCTAGGACTCTCCTAGCTATGGCTCCTACTTCTGTCTACTATTTTCACAAGGCTGTGTTAGAAATCTACTGGTGATCCCCGATTGATCCTAGGGAAGGGTTACAGGCTTGTTGTCCTGGGGGGTTATGGGCTCACTGACCTGCTACTTAACAAGTCATTTTATCCCAATGGTCTAGTGGTTGGGATTCTGACAGGCTGGGTGGTTCTACCCCAACATTTGGAGAGTGTATGATTGTGCTCATTCAATAGAGAGCATGTAGACCCTTTCTGGGGCTCTGCCCGGATTATGCTAGATTCACCTTTTCTAACATATGTCCTAGATATGATTCGATTAACAACATTGCAATCACACTGCTTTGTAGTCCAGGCTCTATAAGCTGCACGATACTGGTCTGTACTGGCTGCAAATCGATTAACAGCGGCACATTTGTCCATGAGTGGTTGCGAGTGTTGCAAATCTGTTTTGGAAACTTCGTGTGGACGTTATTTTTTGCAGCAAATAGTCTGATACTCTACATATAATAAAGTGCCGTGTATTCTAGTTCTTTTCTCTTACCGTATATTTCATGGACCCTCTTACGAATCACCCGATCTTGTCAGCTTCCCGCCAGCACCTTGGGGGTCGCGTCAGCTTGAAAAGGGATCCGGAGAACACATTCTTTTGAGCTCGTATCATTTGGAATTTCAGTTTGAAATGCGAATCAGAAGAGTATGCGGCTGGTCTCGCGTACTTTTTTGTAACAGTGCACAAGGATTTACGGGCTGAGAGCCTCAACCCGAAACTTTACAGATACGCCCTAGTCGTGACACTGATCCAACGTTCTGTAATTTCCTGGTCCTGCCAAACCTTGAAAGTTCCTAAAAAACTATTTTTCTTGATCCACGACCTGTCCTCTCCTTCCTTCGTTCACATCTCACCACAAGGGTCGAATCTCTCGACCCACATTGCCTCCAGTTCATTGGCTTCTTCGCCTCTCGTCGCGAGGATTACCCTTAGTCTGCCTTTCAACACGTGCAGATTTTTCGTGTCGATCACTCCGTTCACCAAGTACAGTTAATTTTACTCGTCCGATCTTGTAACGAGGATATGGCGGCGGCGGATGCAGTGGCGGAGGCGGTAAGCGGGCTGTGGCCGCTCAATGAGGGGTCGCGAGCGAAGATCGTGGATCGCATCAGCACGAACCTCGTCAGCATATGCTTCTCCAAGGACAAGGTGTGTGCGACGAGGCGTGCGACAATGTTTGCGACGAGGCGTGCGACAATGCTTGCGACGAGAGACGACAGATCGACTCACCCACATGCGTCGAAGCGTTTGCAGGAGGGCCTTGTGTGGGTGAGGAGACGACTCTCGAGGAGGCGACAAGCCGTATACAAATGTGTCCCAAGCGAATTCAGCTACGCACGTCGACGGCCCGTGCTGCTGCAGCTCGTTTTCTGCAATTCTCAACGGGTCAACGGTGTCAGCGGGTCAACGGGTCAACGCTGTCAACATTTTTTTGTCTCAATGTTATGCATGTACGCAAAAAATCCCTGCGTTATCCTCCTTTCTCGCTCATCCCTTCCCCCGATCCCAGTCACAGCGTTTGGGCCACGGTGTGGCGGGCAGCCTGGCGGAGACGTCACGATCTACGCACGGCACGCCAGCGCATCCCTTCCCCCCGCTCATTCCTCCCCCCTTCCCCCTCCCCGTTCTCCGCTCCCTCCTCCCTCCCGCCGATCCCACGCACCGGGTGGACGACAGCGTGGCGCGCAGCCTGGCGGAGAGGTTGAAGCTCTTCCCGCTTCCCCTTCCGCCCTCCGTCCTCCCCCCTCCGTCACCCTTCCCCCGCCCTCTTCCCCCCTCCCTCCGCTTTCCGCCCGATCTCAGTCGCAGCGGGTGGACGCGCAGCCTGGCGGAGAGCATCGAGGCGGAGGCGGCACGACCTGAGCACGGCACGCCAGTGCCTCCATTCTCTCCCCTCACTCCTCCCCCTCCCTCTCCCCTCCGTCCCCCCTTTCCCCCCCCTCCCTTTTCCCGATCCCAGGCGCAGCGGGTGGACGACGGCGTGGCGCGCAGCCTGGCGGAGAGCATCGAGGCGGAGGCGTTCGCGGCGACGCAGGCGCGCGCGCAGGAGGGGGGCGCGGCGGTGAAGGGCAGCGCGCTGGTGATGATGTACGCGCGGCACGCGAGCGAGCTCATGGTCGACGCGTTTAAGAAGGAGCGGACGAAGGGGGGAGCGGGCGCAGCTGTGGAGGGAGGCGTTGAAGAGGTGAGCGTCGGTTGGGATGGGTGCGTGGGGGGGAATAGGGTTGGGGGGCGCTGGAGATGATGTACGCGCAGCACGCGAGCGAGCTCATGGTTGGCGCGTTCAAGAAGGAAAGGAAGAAAGAGGGAGCGGGCGCAGCTGCGGATGAGGGCGTTGAGGAGGTGAGTTGGGGGCTTAGGAGTGGGAGTGGGAGTGGGAGTGGGAGTGGGAGTGGGAGTGGGAGTGGGAGTGGGTTTGGCAGTGAGGCTGACGTTGAGGTTGCTTTCCCTGTCATGATGTACGCGCGGCACGTCAGCGAGCTCATGGTAGGCGCGTTCAAGAAGGAGCGCACCAAGGGGGGAGCGGGCGCAGCTGCAGAGGGGGGCGTTGAGGAGGTGAGCGGGGGGCTTGGAATAGAAGTGAGAGCGGAAATTGGCTGTGGTGATGGTATGCGCAGCATGCCAGCAACCTGTCGCTGGGCACGTTCCGCAAGGGGGAGTGCAAGTGCGGAAGGGCGCAGTCACGGATGGGGAGAGGGGGAGAGGGTGCGGGGGAAGGGGTTAACCACTGTTGATGATCTAAATACATCTCTTTGAGAGGGAGTGGGCCATGTATCTCGTTGAGCCTGAATCAAAATGCATTGAAGTTGCGAATGAGCTGCGTGTGGCATGTGTGCAAGCCCTCTCAACAGTTCTGTCCTGCTTTTGTTCTTTTCTGGCAGTTTGACATCTCTGGCGGCAAGAGGGAGGCCTTGACCATGGAAGCCGCGGAGAAGCTTCTCGCGCCCTTGCTCAAGCCCAACAACGGCTGCAAGAAGGTGCCTCTTCCGACCCTCTCAATGCCTCCTCACCACACTCTACCTCTCTCGACCGTACTTGCTATACCCGTGCCTGCCACACCCATACCCGCTACACCCATACCCACTGCGTCACTTCACCAGTACTCTCACCCACCCGCATGGTACCTGGCTTGACAATGCACCTGTACTCATGGTACCCATGTCGTCCTGTTACCCTGTTACCCATGTTCAGTGTCATCCTGTTACATTGTTTCCCTGCTACTGATTCATCCGTTACCCTGTTATCCAGTTGTTACAAATGTCTGCCCTGTAACCCTGTTACCTGGTAACCCTGTAACCCTGTGACTCTGTAACCATACCCCTGTAACCCTTTTATCCTGTAACAGGTGAAGCTCAGCAGCAAGGCGTTCACGCTGGAGGCTGCTGACGTGGCGCACCAGGCGCTGACCAATGCGCAGGACACGCTGACGCATGCTGACCTCAGCGACATCATTGCCAGCCTACCGGTGGGTGGGAGGAAGGGATGGGGGAGGGGAAGGTGGAGGGGGGCGAGGGAGAAGGAGAGGGGGAAAGTATGCTTATGCCATACCTGTGCCCACGCCCATGCCATACCTGTGCCCATGCCCATGCCATACCTGTGCCCATGCCCATGCCATACCTGTGCCCATGCCCATGCCATACCTGTGCCTGTCCCCATGCCTGCCCAGACTGACTGTGCCTGTGCTTGTGTCGGTGAGTGTGTCTGCCCGTGTTTGTGCCTTTGTCTTTGCCTGTGTCTGTGCATGCCGGGGCGTCTGTGCTTATATGGGGAGCAGGATTAGGCCCACAGCAGGTGATATCGAGGGCGCATCAGCGCTGGAGGGCCGATGGCTACCTGTGTTTCCTATCAAGGCGAACCCAACATCTGCACGCTGTTTTTGTGCCTGTGCCCATAGCTGTGCCTGTGCCCATAGCTGTGCCTGTGCCCATAGCTGTGCCTGTGCCCATAGCTGTGCCTGTGCCCATAGCTGTGCCTGTGCCCATAGCTGTGCCTGTGCCCATAGCTGTGCCTGTGCCCATAGCTGTGCCTGTGCCCATAGCTGTGCATGTGCCCATAGCTGTGCCTGTGCCCATAGCTGTGCCTGTGCCCATAGCTGTGCCTGTGCCCATAGCTGTGCCTGTGCCCATAGCTGTGCCTGTGCCCATAGCTGTGCCTGTGCCCATAGCTGTGCCTGTGCCTGTGCCTGTGCCTGTGTCTGTGTCTGTGCCTGTGCCTGTGAATGTGCCTGTGCCTGTGCCCGTTCTCATACCCCTGTGTGTGTGTGTGTGTGATTGTCTAACAGGAGGAGGAGGCACTGCAGGTGATCACAAGGGTCACATCAGCCCTGGAGGGCTGTAAGCTGGCAGTTCCCTCATATGGCTTACCCGTCTCCTTGTGTGTGTGTGCCTGTGCGTGTATCTGGTGGCACAGGAGGAGGAGGCACTGCAGGTGATCACAAGGGTCACATCAGCCCTGGAGGGCTGTAAGCTGGCAGTTCCCTCATATGGCTAACCCGTCTCCTTGTGTGTGTGTGCCTGTGCGTGTATCTGGTGGCACAGGAGGAGGAGGCACTGCAGGTGATCACGAGGGTGACATCAGCGCTAGAAGGCTGCAACCTCGAGTCACTCAACCTCTCAGACAACGCGTTTGGCGAGAAGGGCGTGCGGGCTGCTGCCGTCGCCCTCACCTCTCAGGTGAGTGCTGAAAATACACCCTCAAAGTGCGACTTTTGGCTGACTCCTGAGCCACGAGATTCGAATAGAGTCTGTCAGCCCTGACTTGAGGCTTAACTAAAGTCATGAATCCGAGTGTGTCTCGACTTGACTTGTGCTCATGTCTACTGCCCGCCCTACCTCCGCCCCCCTCTTTTCTCTCCCCCCTCCTCCCCCCGATTTCTTTCAACCCTCCCTCTATATCCTCGCCTCCCCTCCCCCTTCCTTCTCTCCCCCCTATATTCCTCCCCCAGTTCTTTCCCCCCTTCTTTCTGCGCCACCTCTACTTGTGCATCAACGGCATTAGCAGCGAGGCAGCAGCAGCGAGGCAGCAGCAGCCATCAAGCCCTCTGTCTTATCCCTCTAAGGAGCAGCAGCAGCCATCAAGCCCTCTGTCTTATCCCTCTAAGGAGCAGCAGCAGCCATCAAGCCCTCTGTCTTATCCCTCTAAGGAGCAGCAGCAGCCATCAAGCCCTCTGGCTTATCCCTCTAAGGAGCAGCAGCAGCCATCAAGCCCTCTGTCTTATCCCTCTAAGGAGCAGCAGCAGCCATCAAGCCCTCTGTCTTATCCCTCTAACGAGCAGCAGCAGCCATCAAGCCCTCTGTCTTATCCCTCTTAAGGAGCAGCAGCGAGGCAGCAGCAGCCATCAAGCCCCTTCTCTCGCAATCGTCCAACCCCTGACTCCCTCTGTCTTATCCCTCTACCTGCCCTCCTCTCTTCCCGTTCTCTCCTTCCCCCCCCCCCCCAGCCATCGCTGCGCCATCTCTACTTCTGCAACAACGGCATCAGCAAGGAGGCAGCAGGGGCTATAAAGGAGCTGCTGCCCGCACAGGCAGTGGCATCCCTGGAAACACTGCACTTCTTCAACAACATGTCAGGTGAGGCTCTTGGGTGATGTGGTGTGGAATATGAATGAGGGATCTCCAAGGAGGCAGCGGTGGCTATTAAGGAGCTGCTGCCGGCCCAGGCAGTGGCGTCTCTTGAGACTCTCCACTTGTTCAACAACATGTCGGGTGAGTCTCTCTCTTAGGCTAGTGGGATGGGAGGCAGGGATTTGGGGGTGCAATCAGCGAGGCAGCGGCGGCCATCAAGGAGTTTCTGCTGCCCGCCCCAGCAGTGGCCTCCCTTGAGACGCTTCACTTGTTCAACAACATCTTGGGTGAGCTGCCCGTTTTTGGGATGGGCTGCCTTTTGGGAGTTAGGGAGTTGGGGGTGCCCTCAAGGAGGCAGCAGCAGCAGCGGCCATGAGGGAGCTGCTGCCCGCCCAGGCAGTGGCGTCCCTGGAGTCGCTGCACCTGTTCAGCAACATGTCAGGTGAGCCCCACCTCTTTGGCTCCCCACCCTTGCAAGTTATTTCAGTGTTCCACCGTACCCACCACCATACCCACCACCATACCCACCAACCACCATCACATGCAGGTGATCCGGGTGTCGCCATTCTGGCCGAAGCGGTGAGGAAGCGAGACGGCTGAAGGACCAACATTGCTCACCTCTTTGCCCCCTCTCGCTACATCACATCACATTCACCACCCACCATATGCACCACCTCCACATGCAGGTGATCCGGGTGCCGCCATTCTGGCCGACGTGGTGAGGGAAGCGAGGGGGCTCAAGGACTTCCGATTCGCGTCCACTCGTGTGGGGACAGATGGCGCCAGGGCACTGGCTGACGCCATCGCTGCCAGTGAGTCCCATGGTCCCCTGCAGGTTGATAATCACTCTCATTTGTGTCACTCTGGTTTCACCTTGGTTTCACCTTGGTGTCACTCTGATGTCACTCTGGTGTCACCTTGGTGTCACTCTGCTGTGCTGCTGTGCCCCTGCTATTTGCTGAGGTGTTCACTTTCTCTCTTCCCTTTTGCTTCCCTTCCCCATCCCATGTGTCAGACTCCACTCTGGAGCGCCTGGACCTGAGAGACAACATGTTCGGCCCTGAGGGGGGCGCTGCTTTGGCATCGGCCCTGCAGCACCACCCCAACCTGAAGCAGCTGATGCTGGGGGATACTGGTGAGTGGCAATGCGTGGGTGTTGGCGGGTCCAGTGTTGAGGGAGATGTGCGGCACTGTAAGCAGGTGTGGGGCAAAGCGGGGAGGAAATATTGCTCTGGCTTTCGCACTGTACGCAGGTGATGCTGCTCTCGCGTCCGCCCTGCAGCACCACCCCAACCTGAAGCAGCTCATGCTTGGGGATACTGGTGAGTGGCACTGTGGGGGATACGAGTGTGGTTGGGTCCAGTTTGGAGGTAGATGTGGGGGACTGTAAACAGGAGGACTGTAAGGAGGCAATGCTGCTCTGTTCTGACAACCGTCCTGCACCACCACCCCAATGCTGCTCTGTGCTGACAACCGTCCTGCACCACCACCCCAATGCTGCTCTGTGCTGACAACCGTCCTTCACCACCACCCAGCCTGAAGCAGCTCATGCAACGACGGGATAGCACAGCGCTTGGAGCATCTCTGCTTGGAGCATCTCTACTTGGAGCATCTCTGCTTGGAGCATCTCTGCTTGGAGCATCTCTGCTTGGAGCATCTCTGCTTGGAGCATCTCTGCTTGGAGCATCTCTGCTTGGAGCATCTCTGCTTGGAGCATCTCTGCTTGGAGCATCTCTGCTTGGAGCATCTCTGCTTCCACTTCCCCTGCACATACCTCCCCCCATCCTTTCCTCCCCATCCCTCCTCCTCTCCCCACCATCAGCGCTGGGAAACGACGGGATGCCAGAGCTCTTCGAGCCTCTCCGCTTTCTTGAACCCACTTCCCCTTCCCATCCATTTCCCCCCGTCCCCCTCTCCCCGCCCGCCATCCCTCCCCCTCCGTCCTCCTTTCCTGCCCGCCGTCCCTTCCCCCCCCCCCCCCTTTTTCTCCTCTCCCCGCCCACCAGCGCTGGGAAATGACGGGGTGGCGGATCTCCCATCCCGCCCCTCATCCCTGCCCCTCATCCCTGCCCCTCATCCCTGCCCCTCATCCCTGCCCCTCATCCCTGCCCCTCATCCCTGCCCCTCATCCCTGCCCCTCATCCCTGCCCCTCATCCCTGCCCCTCATCCCTGCCCCTCATCCCTGCCCCTCATCCCTGCCCCTCATCCCTGCCCCTCATCCCTGCCCCTCATCCCTGCCCCTCATCCCTGCCCCCTCATCCCTGCCCCTCATCCCTGCCCCTCATCCCTGCCCCTCATCCCTGCCCCTCATCCCTGCCCCTCATCCCTGCCCCTCATCCCTGCCCCTCATCCCTGCCCCTCATCCCTGCCCCTCATCCCTGACCCTCATCCCTGCCCCTCATCCCTGCCCCTCATCCCTGCCCCTCATCCCTGCCCCTCATCCCTGCCCCTCATCCCTGCCCCTCATCCCTGCCCCTCATCCCTGCCCCTCATCCCTGCCCCTCATCCCTGCCCCTCATCCCTGCCCCTCATCCCTGACCCTCATCCCTGCCCCTCATCCCTGCCCCTCATCCCTTCCTCCATATCTCCCATCCCTGCCCCTCATCCCTCTCCTCCATATCTCCCATCCCTGCCCCTCATCCCTCTCCTCCATATCTCCCATCCCTGCCCCTCATCCCTCTCCTCCATATCTCCCATCCCGCCCCTCATCCCTCTCCTCCATATCTCCCATCCCTGCCCCTCATCCCTCTCCTCCATATCTCCCATCCCGCCCCTCATCCCTCTCCTCCATATCTCCCATCCCGCCCCTCATCCCTCTCCTCCATATCTCCCATCCCTGCCCCTCATCCCTCTCCTCCATATCTCCCATCCCTGCCCCTCATCCCTCTCCTCCATATCTCCCATCCCTGCCCCTCATCCCTCTCCTCCATATCTCCCATCCCGCCCCTCATCCCTCTCCTCCATATCTCCCATCCCTGCCCCTCATCCCTCTCCTCCATATCTCCCATCCCGCCCCTCATCCCTCTCCTCCATATCTCCCATCCCGCCCCTCATCCCTCTCCTCCATATCTCCCATCCCTGCCCCTCATCCCTCTCCTCCATATCTCCCATCCCTGCCCCTCATCCCTCTCCTCCATATCTCCCATCCCTGCCCCTCATCCCTCTCCTCCATATCTCCCATCCCGCCCCTCATCCCTCTCCTCCATATCTGCCATCCCTGCCCCTCATCCCTCTCCTCCATATCTCCCATCCCTGCCCCTCATCCCTCTCCTCCATATCTCCCATCCCGCCCCTCATCCCTCTCCTCCATATCTCCCATCCCTGCCCCTCATCCCTCTCCTCCATATCTCCCATCCCTGCCCCTCATCCCTCTCCTCCATATCTCCCATCCCGCCCCTCATCCCTCTCCTCCATATCTCTCATCCCTGCCCCTCATCCCTCTCCTCCATATCTCCCATCCCGCCCCTCATCCCTCTCCTCCATATCTCCCATCCCTGCCCCTCATCCCTCTCCTCCATATCTCCCATCCCTGCCCCTCATCCCTCTCCTCCATATCTCCCATCCCTGCCCCTCATCCCTCTCCTCCATATCTCCCATCCCGCCCCTCATCCCTCTCCTCCATATCTCCCATCCCTGCCCCTCATCCCTCTCCTCCATATCTCCCATCCCTGCCCCTCATCCCTCTCCTCCATATCTCCCATCCCTGCCCCTCATCCCTCTCCTCCATATCTCCCATCCCGCCCCTCATCCCTCTCCTCCATATCTCCCATCCCTGCCCCTCATCCCTCTCCTCCATATCTCCCATCCCGCCCCTCATCCCTCTCCTCCATATCTCCCATCCCTGCCCCTCATCCCTCTCCTCCATATCTCCCATCCCGCCCCTCATCCCTCTCCTCCATATCTCCCATCCCTGCCCCTCATCCCTCTCCTCCATATCTCCCCACCCCACCTCTCTTCTCCCCGCCCACCAGAGCTGGGCGATGACGCGTGTGGCCGAGCTCTTAAACAGAGCTGGGTGATGACGCGTGTGGCCGAGCTCTTAAACAGCCTATCCGCTTCCCTGTTCCCACTCCTGCCCCTGTTCCCCCTTCTTCCTTCTCCCCCCGCGCTCCCCCCTCCCCCGCGCTCCCCCCTCCCCCGCGCACCAGCGCTGGGCGAGGACGGGTGGCAGAGCTCCTGGACAGCCTCTCTGTACACCTGTTCCCACGTGTGCCTCTCTGTACACCTGTTCCCACGTGTGCCCCCCGTTCTCCTTCTTCCTTCTCCCCCACACTCCCCTCCCTCCGTCCCCCCTCCCCCGCCCATACAGCCCTGGGCGATGGCGGGGTGGCAGAGCTCCTGAACAGCCTCTCCGCTTCCCTGAACCCACTTCCCTAAACCTCTTGTTTTCCTCTCCCCGCCCACCATCCTTTCCCCTTCCTCCCCCCCTTCTTTTTCTCCTCCCCCCCCCCCTTTTTCTCCTCCCCCCGCCCACCAGCGCTGGGCGATGATGGGGTGGCGGAGCTCCTGGACAGCCTCGCCCAGTCCACTCCGCAACTCGAGGTGCGCTGGTAGAGGGACGGGGGTGCTGGCGGAGGGCGTTGAGTTATTTCTTTAGCTTGCGGTGTGCTGCAGCAGCCTCGCCCAGTCCACTCCGCAACTCGAGGTGCGCTGGTAGAGGGACGGGGGTGCTGGGGGAGGGCGTTGAGTTATTTCTTTAGCTTGCGGTGTGCTGCAGCAGCCTCGCCCAGTCCACTCCCCAACTCGAGGTGCGCAGCGCGCTGGTAGAGGGTAGCAGGGGAAGGGTGGAGAGGAGGGGGGACAGGAGAGGGTGGGCTAGCTTGCGGTGTGCCGCAGCAGCCTCGCTCAGTCCACTCCGCAACTCGAGGTGCGCTGGTAGAGGGACGGGGGTGCTGGGGGAGGGCGTTGAGTTATTTCTTTAGCCTGCGGTGTGCTGCAGCAGCCTCGCCCAGTCCACTCCCCAACTCGAGGTGCGCAGCGCGCTGGTAGAGGGTAGCAGGGGAAGGGTGGAGAGGAGGGGGGACAGGAGAGGGTGGGCTAGCTTGCGGTGTGCCGCAGCAGCCTCGCTCAGTCCACTCCCCAACTCGAGGTGCGCTGGTAGAGGGACGGGGGTACTGGGGGAGGGTGTTGAATGGGGGGTAGAGGGTTGAAGGGAGAGGGGTGCGGGTGGGCTAGCTGGAGGTACGCTGCAGCAGCCTCGCCCAGTCCACTCCCCAACTTGAGGTGCGCTCGTAGAGGGTGGTGTGGGGGGCTGGAGAGGGGAAGAGGAGAGGGGGATGAGAGAGGAGGGAGGAGGGGAGTGTTGGCTAACTCGAGGTGCGCTGGTAGGGGAAGGGGGTACTGGGGGAGGGTGCAGGGACGGGGGTAGAGGGCGGAAGTTGGAAGGGAGAGGGGAGAAGGTGGGGCAGCTCGAGGGGCAGCTCGAGGGGCAGTGCAGCAGCCTCGCCCAGTCAACTTCCCAACTCCAGGTGTGCAGGTAGTGGTCCTCCCTTCACTGCCCTCCCTTCACTGCCCTCCCTTCACTGCCCTCCCTTCACTGCCCTCCCTTCACTGTCCTCCCTTCACTGTCCCCTTGTCGTGCCTTCACTGTCCCCTTGTTTCCGCCCTTCATCCCTTTCTTTTCACCACCAGCTGCTTAACTCTGGGGGGAAACGACTGCACGGAGGAGGGAGGAGGGCGGATTTCAGAGTGTCTGAGCCGTTGGATTGGAAGTGCGATGCAACTGTGTTTCCTTGTTTCCTCCCTCCTCGTTCTTCCTCCATGTGTTGAAGCCGGGGGAAACGAGCTGACAGAGGACGGAGCGGGGCGGCTGGCGGCGAGTTTGAGCTGTTCAGAGTGTGGTGCAACGGTCGGCTGTTCAGAGTGTGGTGCAACAGTCGGCTGTTCAGAGTGTGGTGCAACAGTCGGCTGTTCAGAGTGTGGTGCAACAGTCGGCTGTTCAGAGTGTGGTGCAACAGTCGGCTGTTCAGAGTGTGGTGCAACAGTCGGCTGTTCAGAGTGTGGTGCAACGGTCGGCCTCTTTCTTAACCCCTTCCTCACTTCCCCCACCTCCCCACCTCCCCCTCCCCGCCTCCCCTCCCCACCTCCCCCTACCCCACCCCACCCCTCCCACCACCAGGTGTTGGAGCTGGGCGGCAACGAGCTGTCGGAGGAGGGAGCGGGGCGGGTGGCGGAGAGTCTGAAGCCGTTCAGCGCATTGAGGAAGCTGGTGCTGTGCGACAACGAGATGGGGGATGCTGGCGTTGAGACCCTGGTCAGCATTATTCCCGACCACCTACGGTGAGTGCTGCTAGTGGTTCAAAGGCAGTGTTGACCCCAAAGGTTGCGTTGAGGGAGGTGGTGCGGTGAGGCAATGAGATGGGGACCGATGGCGTGGCGGCGCTAGTCAACATTACCTGCGGCCACCAGCGGTGAGTGCTGCTGTAGGGTTGGTGTTGAGGGGGGCGGTGCTGTGTGGTAATGAGATGGGCGATGCTGGCATAGCGACACCTGTGGCAGTCATTCCCGACCACCTGCGGTGAGTGTTGATGCTGCTGGTGGCAGTAGATTTGACTCAGGTATCTTCAGGGTCGGCCCCAGAGGTTGTGTTGAGGGGGCTGCTGCTGCTGCTGCTGCTGCTGCTGCTGCTTTTACGTGTGACACGAATGGCTGTAGGATTGATGCGGGCGGCCTTATCAGTGACTCCCAGAGGTTGCATTAAAGAGGTCGGTTGTGTGTGTGGCAATGAGAGGGGAGATGCGGACATATGGACCCCTGTAGCCCTTATCCCCTACTCCCTGTGGTGAGTGCTGCTAGTGTGTGTATACCAGGAGCGGTCTGGGTTGCTCTCTACGGTTGGCTTGTGTGTTCTCTGGTCATCGTTTCTGCTTCTATTCCCTGAATGTTCTCCACTTCGTCTGTTTCATCTGGTGTAAGGTCATTCTCGCAGTTGCCCCTCATGGTCATTCTGTTTTCCGGCATCGTTTGTCTTTTTCCACGGTGCCAGGTCCCTGGAAGAGCTGGACCTCTCCACCAATGATTTCGGCCGAAAGGGTGCGGAAGCTGCCGCCCGGGCAGTCAAAGATTTGGAGTCGTTCAAGCTGCTCACCATCAACGGTAACCACATCCCTGTTGATGGAATCCGGGCAGTTAAAGAAATTCTGGGCGTTCCGATCGAGGATGGGGAGGAGACAGACGGTGGCAAGGGTGTTTTGGGGCCGTTGGATGAGAACGATGAGGAGGGGGAGGAGGATGCGGATTAGAAGCTATCACAAGAGAAGACGGGCTACGCAGCACACTCGGTCTGGTCTAAGTGCATGACATACCATGACCAAGAATGTCATAAAAGTGTCTCAGTGGCTAACATGCAGACCGCTCTGCTGGTGCCGTTGTGTGAATGCCAATGTAACAAAATACAAATTTCCCTCCACACTTCATTCAGTATACCGTACGTCACACGGGCTGTTTACACAGGTTGTTGCCGATGTATCCAAGGTGCCTAACAACCAGCATTTACATGTATTTGATGATACAGTTTTGTTTTGCTGCATCAGCAGCAGCATAATTTGGATTTTGGATGCACGCCTTAGTAATTGGTGATGCATTTCAAGCTTTGCTGCACCAGAGTCTCAGTGTGGATGCAATTTATATTTATATTTTGACAGCAAGGGCATGCAAAAAGAGTGCGAAGTAGGTTTGGAAATTAAGGTGTATCCTTCTTCACTGCTGTCGCGTCACCACGCCACAACGTACATCACCTCTACCCTACCACCCCTTCCCACTCCTGCCGAGGAGTTTCATGCAATATGTTTCACCCGGCAGTGCGTTTCGTCCCTGGTACCAAGCTCGGTAGCGCTTCCGGGCTCGGTAGCGCTACCGGGCTCCCAACTACCCTACCCCTTCCCTCACCCCCACACACCCCAAGCGTACGGCATCACTATTGCGTGCATGTGCTCCTCCGAGGAGAGGACGGTTCTTGCAGCGAGGAGGCGATTCGCAATTTCGTTATCCTGGGTACCCTACCGAGCCATATCAAACGTTCAAACGACCGTCTTTGAAAGTAACTAACCACGTCAAACCGTACTGGTACAAAAGTCTACTATAACGCGCCCTCTGGCGCGTTGAGCCACAGGACCCATATAGCCAATGACAGTGTAGCGCGAAACAGGGTGTATCTCGTCGTCGTGAGTTGTGACATTTGTCCCAAGTCCCACGAGCGAAATCGTTTTCTACTCCAATCCAACCAGCACACAAATACTTGAACATGGAGCTCATTCCATTGCAATCTCATGATTCCTCAGCTCTGATTACGCAGCCCTGTTTCAGTTCGTTCTTGCCCACGACAGTCCGATTGTAGTCATATTGGGCCACAATTCGCTTGAAGGTTGACCGCTGCTTGGCAAACCATCCCAGACTCACTCCTTTTGCGCCGCGCAGTGCGCCGAGGGTTCCATCAGCACTTCGCCGGAGCGTTCTTGGCAAGCTCTTCTCCCCAATCCCTATCCTCCCCGGCGCCGTAAACTAAATTCGGCTCGTTACTATGCAAGTCCGCGGGCTAGTACGCGCGTGCAAGCATCTCAGACGCGGATCCAGGACTACTAACGCGGATTACTACGCAGGAGAGCAATTACCGAATGCGACTATATCGGTGCCGGTCGCTACCCCCGCAGGGCTTCACCCGGCACAACTCGCATCATTTCCCGTCAGACCGTATTGCCTCCCTTCGGCAGACCGCGGCGTTCCGTCGCATGCTACCGCGAAAATATTTATTGGTATTGCCGCCGCAAAAAACGCAGATCTCGAAAAAAATCGGGGAGGAAATGGGGGGCTTTCGGGAGGCTCTTCGGCGGAGGAGAGTTGTTGTTTTACCGCGACATACGCCTTTGAGCTGTTGGGAACGCGATGTGCGCAGAATCTAACGAACGCTTCGCTGTCTGGGAGATTATCAGCATGCAGGGAGTGTGCGGTATGCATTTGTGACTTCAATGGGGGAGAGCTGGTTCGCTCTCTACCCTGCGCGCATCGGTTCCACGTCAGCTGCATCGACCACTGGCTCGCCGATAGGACCACCTGCCCCGTGTGCCGAGTAGATTTTAAAGCGACAGCAATCGATGTGACTGTAAACGACGGCGTGACAATGAAAGGGGAAAGAATCGATGCGGTCTCTTGGTCGACTCCCACGAGAAACGGCTCATGAGCCTCCGGAGGTTGGCGACTCGCGAATTCGACTTCTCACATCAGACAATAAGAACTTCGTCCGTTCAATCTACGATTCGGCTGCAGGGAAAAGTTGGTGGCGGCAGATGCCCTATGATTAGCGTAAAATAATTTAACCTCTTCCCAGTCAAATGCCTAATTGGCGTGGGAACGTTCAACGCATGCAGCTCGCGAACTGCTTGGGCCTACAATGTAAGATGGCGATCCTGGCGCGGACAGGAAGCGGTGGGTGATGATGCTTCATTGGGTTGTTCGCGGGAAAGGCGGCGGGAAGACCGTACGCTGGGCATGAGCTGCTGTTGCTACAGGGAACCATTTGAAGATCGGAAGCAATCCTTGAAACTTCGACTGGCTATACTTCTTCCGTTTTGTTCAAATAGCATACAAGTTCCACCAAGAAAATAGCTTTCAGCTGGTTCCAATTGCTTTCATGCTGAAATGCAGAAGTGAAATAGCAACTTTGACTGATAAGTGTGATGTGATAATTCCATGTGCCACCAAGATTGGTATGGGGGGGGGGGGGGGGGGGGGGGGTGGGGGAACACTAAAAATGAAATACCGGGACGCCTATAAAGTGTATCAGCAGCTGTGGGTTCTCGTTCTCGGTCCTGAAACTTTCCCTCATCCAATCGAGGTTATCGCGTTCCAGGTTTCGATTCTCTCAAACAGCTATTGACTGTAGTCCGCCCCGCAACGGTCAACAGAATGCCTACTTACAGTACAATACAAAACTCCCTACATGCACCTGAAATTGCAACTGCTTGTAGTATCCTTTCTCCCTGCCGCTATGCGAAGAGTTTTCCTGTACACTACCTCTTCGTGGGTGGATATGTAGTCGGCTAGCCGTGCTGCCCAACTGCTAGCAGCGCAAATTTCCCTTGCCCCATGAATCCAAGAAATCCTCAGTCCACCCATTTAGTGTTCAAATGCTGCACACTCAAGACTAAACGACGACGCGCGTTTTACTCGGCAGTCGGTGCCACCGTACATCGTCGAACACCCACATGGCTCGGCCTAGTACTCGCGCCCGCCTGCATGGATGAAGGAAAGAAAAAAACCACAATGAAGTGCTTACCGATAGTTTTAGCAGCGAGGACAATTTTATTTGAAGCTACTAATCCCCTGGACGAAAATAGGCCTTGAAAAGCGTCATACAGGCGGCGACAGCGGCAATGATGACGGCACGGGTATCCCTACCCGCGCCGGTAGCAGCAGCGCCAGGAATACCGACGGACGCGGCAGGAGCGACAGAGGCGCCACCGGCCGCCAAGGTGGAAGCGCTCCCGCTCTCCCTCGCCATAGCCGCAGTGGTGCTTGTTGTGGTGCTATTCGTTATTGCCACACTAGCATATCGCCACCCCGGCGCCTTTCGTTACACGTGGACCCAACTACTGGGTCAACCTTCGTATAGTAGCGGCGCGAACTATTACCGGACAGAGATTGTACCGAATGTGACTACTACATCGGTGGCAGTCCCGAGCAGCCCCCCCCGGTTGAACCCGGCGCGGCTCGCCGCGACATTCCCCATCAGACCGTATCGGCACCCCCCCAGTGACCGCCTTTGCCCTTCCGCAAGAGATTCCCTTCAATTGAACAATGATACGGTTGGGTATACTAAGCGAGAAGTTACTAGTACGCCCTCAGATGCTGTACTAGCTGCGGGACATTCCGTGATTGACGCCGTCGGCGATTTGGAAGCACAAAGTACTACCTACTTGAGACACGGAGGGGTTGCAGCGAACAGAGAGTGCACGGTGTGTCTGTGTGACTTTAACGAGGGTGAGCTGCTTCGCTATTTGCTGCCCTGCGAGCACCGGTTCCACGTCAGCTGCATCGACCATTGGCTCGCCAACAGGACCACGTGCCCCGTGTGCCGAATAGACCTCAAGGCGACGTCATTGGATGTGTCTATAGAAACGAGGTGGAGGGAAAGCAGAGCAGTCTGATCGGATAGGATTTCGGCAGCAAGAGCCGCGAAGCAGAAGAAGTGGGGCCTCGGTTTGTTTTTGTCAGATTCGCAACCCGCGAGTTTGGACCACCTGCCCCGTGTGCCAAGTAAACCTCAAAGCAGCAGCATCGAATGTGACTACAGAAAGCGGAAGGAAGGGAACAGTGTAATCGGCTAGGGTTTCGACAGTCTAATCGGCTAGGGTTGCAGTTTGCTGCAAAGCCAAGGAGGATTCGCTTCGTTTCTGCCCGTCGCAACGCAATCTGCGAGTTTGATTCTAATGATGCGCCTCACTGAGCTAGATGTGCGAGCTGATCTGACGGCTCAGTCGCAAGTATTGAGAGTTCCGGGGAAAAGCGTGCGAAGCTGGTCGTATGCTTGCGCGAGTATCGATTGTGCCACGAAGTGGTCGTTAGATGTGCTCCCGTGGAGTCCTGAATATGCGGGGGGACTTGGAGCACTATGACGGGTGGAACCGCCAGAGACGCCGCAATTCCCGCATATCGCTGAGATGTCAGTGAAGGAATTGTTGCTCGAGCAGCCATGGCAACCAGGGTTTGCTGAGCTTCCATTTGCAGTCAGAGCTACAGTGCTTTTTGTTAGATGATTGTACGTTTTCAGTGTATAATAAGGAAGTTTGCTGTTAAGTCATTGTAAGTTTTTAGTGGAGTTTTGAACAGGCCTTGACATCACAACATGCCATTCATACGGGCATACGGGAATTCGTGCTAGTACGTGCAATTTCCATTTTTCAGTTCCCAATGAGATGTTCAGAAATACGTATACATAATCTGCATCTATTAGTAGTACAATTGCAACTGTGAAATTACTGTCATGACTGGTGTGCCATCTCCTTCTTTTGCAGGTGCGATGACCCTTTAACGCCCCACCGTGAAAAGAACCCAGAGCTAGATGCATATTGGAATGGCCCTCCTCCCTCCTCCCGCTCCTCTCGTCTCCCCCCTCCTCCCTCTTCCACAGTCCCCAGCAAAGCAAATGCCTTCATAGGGCTGCCAGTGTTACTGGTTACCGCAAGGCCCCCTCGGGGGCTCAGACCCGCCACCTGAGCCACTCTCCGAACCTGCCCCGTTCCAGGTTTGGGAGACCGCTGTGTAACCGAAGCTGTCGGAGACAAGCTTCGGGCAGGAGGGGATGTCAATCCTGCGCTTGCTGAGCCTGATGCAACCATGGAGCCAGATCCTGAACCTGCTCCAGCCAAGCCACCTCCCGGACCTGCTCCCGAGCCTCCTCGATTCTCCACACTGCCCCTTTCATAAAAGAAATCCTCAGATAAGCCCCAGTCGTTTGCACTCCCAGAGCCCGAACTACCCCCAGAATCCGATGCCCTAACAATATTTCTACCCCCTGAATCAGCAGCTTTAGCCGGGTTTCTAGGTCTCAGGGAGTCGTGGGCTGCTGTTGCTGTGCCGTAATGCTGCGAGGGATAATGGTGAGGGTGGGCTGGGGGAAGGTGGTGATGGTGAGAAGGGACGGCTTGGGGGTTGTGTGACGGGTGGTGGTGGTGGTGGTGGTGGTGCAGGTTGGCCCCTGAATGAGGGTCAGAATCAACTGCTAGTAGCACCTGTGTTTCCCCCGCAGCAGCAGCAGCGGCAGCAGCCGCCGCAGCAGCAGAGCGAGGAGAGAGCACGCCAGCAACCCCGTTCAGCAAACCCCCAAACGTACCACCAACCACACCACCAGCCACACCTCCCCCTCCTCCCCCTCCACTCCCACCCCCACTCACACTCACAGGCAACCCCGACCCTCCTCCTCCGCCCATCCCTCCCCCACCCCCACCGCCTTTCCCCCCGCCTCCCCCTCCCCCCGCCCCTCCCGGCGACACCATACTCTTGTTCTTGAGCATGAGGCGAGCGCGGTCCTGGTGGGCGCCAATGGCGGCGAGGCGCGGCACGAGCTTGAAGGCGAAGGGCGTGAGCACGAGGGAGAGCGCCGTGGTGCCCATGAGCAGCAGGTACAGCTTGTGCCCCACCAGCTTCAGCGTTTGCGCTCGCGAGAGGAGGACGAAGGAGAATTCTCCTATCTGCGCCAGGGCTATTCCCACCGCTGCTGCTGTGCCTGCGCTATAGCCGAAACCACGGACCTAGGGAATGGGGGAACGAGGGGGGAAGGGAATGGAGGACAGGGGGAGTGGGGAGGGGGAGAGGGGCGCAAGGAATGGGGAGGAGGCAGGGAGTTGAGAAGGCGAAGGGCGCGAGGACGAGGGAGAGGGTGGTGGTGCCCATGAGCAGCAGGTACAGCTTGTGCCCCACCAGCTTCAAGGTTTGCGCGCGCGCGTGGTGGGTGGAAAGAGAAAGGACTGTTTGATGTGACCGAGCCCTATGCCCACGGCTACTGCTGTGTCAGCACTGTATCCACGGTCCCGGACCTGTTGAATGGGTGCAATGGGGAAGGGGTGGAGAGAAGAGAGAGAGGAAAAGATGACTCAATGACTCCCTTATCTGCATCAGTGCTATGCCCACCGCTGCAGGTGGAGATGCGGAGCCATTGAGTGGAAAGGGGATGCGGAGCCATTGAGTGGAAAGGGGATGCGGAGCCATTGAGTGGAAAGGGGACGGGAGTGATTTCCCACAGATGCCAAGTCGGATTGACTGACTGGACCCTTCCGGCGGAGACCCACGGTGATTGTTATGCTTGCGGGATGCACCACAATTGTAACTACCTTTGAAATGGCACTCCTGGTGACCATGAGTGTCATACTTCCGTGTAGGCAGGCTCGCAACACTGGAGGGGTGTAGGCAGGCTCGCAACACTGGAGGGGTGTTCTTACCAGCTGGTTCTGTAACCGTGAATGAACTTCGAACAGATCCAAAATGAAGGGGATTCAAAACTGACTCACATACAGAAGAGAAAGCAAGTGGCAGGGACCATGGGGAGGGGAGATAGGGCGGGCGTGGGCTGTTAGAGGTTTGCCGTTACCATAGGGAGGTTTGCCGTTACCATAGGGAGGTTTGCCGTTACCCCGCAATGCAAGCTTCCCCACATCTCCCTTACCACGAGAGCAACAAGAAGTGCATTCCCCACGGAAACAACAGCGAGGACTTCTGTCCCCACAGAGGACAAGGAGAAGAATGTCCTTGTGCTGCCAGAGGACAAGGAGAAGAATGTCCTTGTGCTGCCAGAGGACAAGGAGAAGAATGTCCTTGTGCTGCCAGAGGACCATGGGGTGCGTGCATCGCCATCGCCATCGCCATCGCCATCGCCATCGCCATCGCCATCGCCATGCCCACCCCGTGCTGTACCTCATTCCCCCTCCCTGCCATACCGTCCCCACTCCCCAACTCACCACGAGAGCAACGAGCAGAGTTCTCCCAGGAATACAACAGCAAGGGCGCGCAGCAGAATGTCCTTGTGCTGCCAGAGGAACATGGGGTGCTGGCTCACCATGGGCAAACCCACCCTGTGCTGTGCCCCCACCCCCACTCTCTCCCTTACCATCCCCACCCACTCTCTCCCTTACCATCCCCACCCACTCTCTCCCTTACCATGCCCACCCACTCTCTCCCTTACCATGCCCACCCACCCACTCCCTCTCTTACCACGAGAGCAACGAGAAGTGTTTTGCCCAGAAAGACGACGGCGAGGGCGAGCAGCAGAATGTCCTTGTGCTGCCAGAGGAACATGGGGTGCATCACCATGCCTGTGCCACTACCTTTTGAGTCAACTCACAAGTCATGGGGTGCATCACCATGCCTGTGCCCCACTACCTACCCTGTTCTGTGCCCCCATCCCCACTCCCTCCCTCACCATTCACACTCCCCCCCTCACCACGAGAGCAACGAGCAGTGTTTTCCCCAGGAGAACTATCGCGAGGGCGAGCAGCAGAATGTCGATCTGCTGCCAGAGGAACATGGGGTGCATCGCCGTGCCTACCCCAAGCTGTGCCTATTCCCCCTCCTTGCCAACCGTCCCCACTCCCTGACTCACCACGAGAGCAACGAGCAGCGTCTTCCCCAGGAAAACAACCGCAAGCGCGAGGAGCAAGATGTCCTTGTGCTGCCAGAGGAACATGGGGTGCATCACCATGCCTATGGACGCCAGGAAGAGCGCCGCAAACATGTTGCGCACCGGCTCCACCTGGTGCAGTGTTCTCTCGCTGTATGTGCCGCCTGGAGGGAGAAGGACGAGGGGGAGTGGGCAAGTTGCAGGGAGCATCGTTCTGCCCATGCTGCACACGAGCTCCGTCCAATGTGGCCATTGTAATATGGTGTGCTCGCTGCACGTGGCTCTTGGGAGGAGGAGGTGGAGGGAGGGGGGAGAGAGGGAAGAGGGGTGGGGGGGGAGGGGGCACTGTTGGCCATCAAGACGTGCCATGCATGAGCAGAGCAAGATATGTACGGTTGTTGACAAGATGCATACATGAGCAAGATGCATACATGAGCAAGATGCATACATGAGCAAGATGCATACATGAGCAAGATGCATGGTGCCTCGAATCTAGACAAATGTGCAGGAGGGCGTGCATAGAAAGCACGCACACAGCTGAGAGCACGCACACAGCTGAGAGCACGCACACAGCTGAGAGCACGCACACAGCTGAGAGCACGCACACAGCTGAGAGCACGCACACAGCTGAGAGCACGCACACAGCTGAGAGCACGCACACAGCTGAGAGCACGCACACAGCTGAGAGCACGCACACAGCTGAGAGCACGCACACAGCTGAGAGCACGCACACAGCTGAGAGCACGCACACAGCTGAGAGCACGCACACAGCTGAGAGCACGCACACAGCTGAGAGCACGCACACAGCTGAGAGCACGCACACAGCTGAGAGCACGCACACAGCTGAGAGCACGCACACAGCTGAGAGCACGCACACAGCTGAGAGCACGCACACAGCTGAGAGCACGCACACAGCTGAGAGCATGATCCCGCACACAGCTGAGAGCATGAACCCGAAAACGCAATCAATGACACTCACTTGAAGCAAGAGACGCAATCAATGACACTCACTTGAAGCAAGAGACGCAATCAATGACACTCACTTGAAGCAAGAGACGCAATCAATGACACTCACTTGAAGCAAGAGACGCAATCAATGACACTCACTTGAAGCAAGAGACGCAATCAATGACACTCACTTGAAGCAAGAGACGCAATCAATGACACTCACTTGAAGCAAGAGACGCAATCAATGACACTCACTTGAAGCAAGAGACGCAATCAATGACACTCACTTGAAGCAAGAGACGCAATCAATGACACTCACTTGAAGCAAGAGACGCAATCAATGACACTCACTTGAAGCAAGAGACGCAATCAATGACACTCACTTGAAGCAAGAGACGCAATCAATGACACTCACTTGAAGCAAGAGACGCAATCAATGACACTCACTTGAAGCAAGAGACGCAATCAATGACACTCACTTGAAGCAAGAGACGCAATCAATGACACTCACTTGAAGCAAGAGACGCAATCAATGACACTCACTTGAAGCAAGAGACGCAATCAATGACACTCACTTGAAGCAAGAGACGCAATCAATGACACTCACTTGAAGCAAGAGACGCAATCAATGACACTCACTTGAAGCAAGAGACGCAATCAATGACACTCACTTGAAGCAAGAGACGCAATCAATGACACTCACTTGAAGCAAGAGACGCAATCAATGACACTCACTTGAAGCAAGAGACGCAATCAATGACACTCACTTGAAGCAAGAGACGCAATCAATGACACTCACTTGAAGCAAGAGACGCAATCAATGACACTCACTTGAAGCAAGAGACGCAATCAATGATACTCACTTGAAGCAAGAGACGCAATCAATGACACTCACTTGAAGCAAGAGACGCAATCAATGACACTCACTTGAAGCAAGAGACGCAATCAATGACACTCACTTGAAGCAAGAGACGCAATCAATGACACTCACTTGAAGCAAGAGACGCAATCAATGACACTCACTTGAAGCAAGAGACGCAATCAATGACACTCACTTGAAGCAAGAGACGCAATCAATGACACTCACTTGAAGCAAGACCCTGACGCAATCAATGACACTCACTTGAAGCAAGAGACGCAATCAATGACACTCACTTGAAGCAAGAGACGCAATCAATGACACTCACTTGAAGCAAGAGACGCAATCAATGACACTCACTTGAAGCAAGAGACGCAATCAATGACACTCACTTGAAGCAAGAGACGCAATCAATGACACTCACTTGAAGCAAGAGACGCAATCAATGACACTCACTTGAAGCAAGAGACGCAATCAATGACACTCACTTGAAGCAAGAGACGCAATCAATGACACTCACTTGAAGCAAGAGACGCAATCAATGACACTCACTTGAAGCAAGAGACGCAATCAATGACACTCACTTGAAGCAAGAGACGCAATCAATGACACTCACTTGAAGCAAGAGACGCAATCAATGACACTCACTTGAAGCAAGTGACGCAATCAATGACACTCACTTGAAGCAAGAGACGCAATCAATGACACTCACTTGAAGCAAGAGACGCAATCAATGACACTCACTTGAAGCAAGAGACGCAATCAATGACACTCACTTGAAGCAAGAGACGCAATCAATGACACTCACTTGAAGCAAGTGACGCAATCAATGACACTCACTTGAAGCAAGAGACGCAATCAATGACACTCACTTGAAGCAAGAGACGCAATCAATGACACTCACTTGAAGCAAGAGACGCAATCAATGACACTCACTTGAAGCAAGAGACGCAATCAATGACACTCACTTGAAGCAAGAGACGCAATCAATGACACTCACTTGAAGCAAGAGACGCAATCAATGACACTCACTTGAAGCAAGAGACGCAATCAATGACACTCACTTGAAGCAAGAGACGCAATCAATGACACTCACTTGAAGCAAGAGACGCAATCAATGACACTCACTTGAAGCAAGAGACGCAATCAATGACACTCACTTGAAGCAAGAGACGCAATCAATGACACTCACTTGAAGCAAGTGACGCAATCAATGACACTCACTTGAAGCAAGAGACGCAATCAATGACACTCACTTGAAGCAAGAGACGCAATCAATGACACTCACTTGAAGCAAGAGACGCAATCAATGACACTCACTTGAAGCAAGAGACGCAATCAATGACACTCACTTGAAGCAAGAGACGCAATCAATGACACTCACTTGAAGCAAGAGACGCAATCAATGACACTCACTTGAAGCAAGAGACGCAATCAATGACACTCACTTGAAGCAAGAGACGCAGGTACATGAAAAAGAGAGAAATGCAAATGCAGACGCAGAAATTTGACCATGATGCGTCGTCCCTGCCCCTTGACTGACACACCCCAGTATATGGCACATACATACATGCGTACATACATAGACATGCACATACGTACATGCACACATAAACATGCACATACATGCATGCGCACATACACATGCACATACGTACATGCGCACATAAACATGTACATACAGATGCATGTAGCCACCTCAAGCACGTCCCTAAGAGCATGCGCCCTGCGATGAACGCCCCCACTTGAAGCGATAGCCCCCCCCAGGTACTCGCACAGCAGCGCCCCGCAGAGGCAGTTGCCCTTGATGCCCAGCTGGTACAGCTCGTTGCTGCCTTGCCTCGGGACACGCGTCACTAAACGGCACACACGTGCATGGATGTATCCACCTCAGGCACGCACCTGAGAGCATGAGGCCGGCAATGAACGCCCCGACCTCTAGCGACAGCCCAAGATACTCGGAGAGCAGAGCCACGCACAGGCAGTTGCCCATGATGCCCAGCTGGTACAGCTCGTTGTTGCCCCTTGACACGCGCACGAGCAGGCGCAGGAAGCGCGGGACGAGCAGGCGGGAGAGCGCCCAGGCAACGAGGCAGAAGGCGAGCAGGATGAGCAGCTCGCGCACCAGGGCCAGTAGGATGGCCGAGGCCGATGCAGGGCGGGCGGCGAGCGCCGGCATTATTGCGAGGAGGAGCCCGAGGGCGCAGTCCTGTGCAATGAGCGTGCCGAGCATGATCTGGGGAAGGGCAGAGGAGGGAAGGTGGGGGGGAGGGTTTGCGGGGAAGAAGGGGTATTGGGGGAGGAGATGGGGGAGTGCAATGTGAAGTAGCAGTGGTGGCATCTGAAAGTGTTTTGAGACGTCTCAAAACATGAAGTAGCAGTGGTGGCATCTGAAAGTGTTTTGAGACGTCTCAAAACATGAAGTAGCAGTGGTGGCATCTGAAAGTGTTTTGAGACGTCTCAAAACATGAAGTAGCAGTGGTGGCATCTGAAAGTGTTTTGAGACGTCTCAAAACATGAAGTAGCAGTGGTGGCATCTGAAAGTGTTTTGAGACGTCTCAAAACATGAAGTAGCAGTGGTGGCATCTGAAAAGGAGCAGGCTTAGGGCACAGCCATGCATCATGAGAGCATGGCCAGGATGATCTGCGGGAGGGCAGAGCAGAAGGGGTTCCAGTGGGGTGGGGTTAACAAAAGGGTGGGTGGGGTCTGTACACGCGCTCGAGCAGGCTTAGAGAGCAGTCGTGAGGAAGCCCATATGCACCGGACCAGTCCCAGCGCGTTGAGTGAGCGTTTTGAGCATGTCTTGGGGTAGAGCAGCCGGGTATGACTTGGGGAGTGAGGACAGAGGACGGGAGGAGCACAAGGGGGGTGGAGGAGGAGCGGGATGGGTGGGCCATGGAGAGGGCAAGGTAAGCAGTGGTGGCATGGGGGGAGGGGTGGGGCGAGGGGGAAAGAGGCAAAACTCCCCTGTTCATACCGCAACTTCCCAAGTGTCAACACAACATCGCCAGCCGATGGCTATGTGAATGCAGCCCGCACCCTGCCCCCCCTACTCACCTGCCTGTGTCTATCACTGGCAAGGCATGGCCCTCACCTCACCACACACGGCTGTTCCTATTTCAGGCAGGGGATCCACCACACCACACCTGCCCGTGCTTCCTTCTACCACGGCCCCTCCACCGCACTGCACCTGCCTCCTCAGCTAAATCACCCACTAACCCACTGCACCACGCCCCACCGCACTGCACCTGGCCGTGCTCAGAGTTGAAGCCGTTGATGTCCACCAGGCACTTGAGCACCACGGCTGTAGATGACATTGATAGGAAGCCGCCTGGTTAAGACAAGGGAGAGAGGGGAGAGGAATGAGTGTGGGGGGGAGAGCGAGAGCAAGGGTTGGAGGGAGAGAAGGGAGAAGGAGGCACTTGAGCATCACGGCTGTGGATGACATTGATAGGAAGCTGCCTGGTCGGTAGGGGATGGGGGGGAACGAGGGTGGAGAGAGAAGGGGGAGTGATGAGGGGAGGAGGCACTTGAGCACCACGACTGTATATGACATTGAGAGGAAGCCGCCTGGAGGGTAGCAGGAGGGTTGGGGGAAGCTGGAATAAGCGAGTGAGAAAAAGGGTAGGAGAAAATAGGCACTTGATCACCACGGCTGTGGTTGAGATGCAGAGGAAGCCGCCTGGTGAGAGGGGGGGAGGGGTGGAGCAGGGAGGGAGGGGTGATGATGAGAGGGAGGCCATTGAGCACCAGTGCTGTGCTGTGGAGGGATTCACCAGTGCTGTGCCGTGGAGGGATTCACCAGTGCTGTGCCGTGGAGGGATTCACCAGTGCTGTGCCGTGGAGGGATTCACAAGCAGCCGCATGGCAGGAGAAGTGAGAAAGGAAAGGGGGCTGAGGAGGGTGTGAACGTGGGGAGAGGGAGCAGGGGTGGGGAGCAGAGGAAGGGGTGGGGTGGAAATAAGGAAGTGAGTCACTTGGGGGTTATTACTGTAATTTTCATGGACAGGGCGCCGCCTGGTGGGGGTTGGGGGTGCTGGAGAGGAGCGAGGAAATAAAGGGGGAGAGGAGGAGGAGAGAGAGAAGAGGGAATGCACGGCCTGGGAGCACAGCGGGGGAGCAAGGAAGCTGGGTGGTGCAACGAGGGTGGGCGTGAGGAGGGAGGGAGGGAGACAAAGGCCCAGGTGAAAACGAAGAGGGAGACAAAGGCCCAGGTGAAAACGAAGAGGGAGGCAAAGGCCCACGTGAAAACGAAGAACCCTCCTCCACTCCACGTACGCTGCTAGCCAGTAACCGACGAAAAGGCCCAGCTCATAGTCCAGTCCAGACGCGCACCTATGAATTGCTCCTGGGGCGTGTGGGGGTGAAGCCTTCACCAAGAAGGTACGGCTTCGGACCATGGACAGGCGACTTTGCAGAACGACCTCTTCCTGCGGCACCTCCTACTACTGCAGCAGTTGAGAATCGCATTTGAGAATCCTCAAAAGCGATTTCTGCACCTACTACTGCTGCAGCAGTAGGGTACGGACATCACATCACACAGTGACCCAAGCGCGCGCACCTACCCCTGGGGCGCGTTGGAGGTGAGGATGCCGGCCAGAACTAGGAGTGATGGCTATGAGGTTTGGCAGCACTCCCGTGCTCCCACAGGCACCACTAGCAAAGCCCTTGAGCCGGACTCCCTCCCACCTGGCAATAGCTAGCCCTGACCCACCCTGACCCACCCTGACCCACCCTGACCCACCCTGATACGCACCTATGAAGAGCTCCTGGGGCATGCTGGAGCTGACGATGGCGCCCGGAATCATGGTGATGAGGACTTTTGAGTCGACTCAAAAAGTCATTTTGAGTCGACTCAAAAGTCACCTGGCGATGAGGACCTTGAGCACTGCTGCTACAGGCACCACTAGCTAAGCCCTTGACTCGCACACCCACCGAAAAATTGCCACATATCACCAGATACAACAAAAGCGCACCGATGAAGAGCCCCTGGGGGGTGTTGGAGCTGAAGATGCCGCCCAGAATCATGGCGATCTGCAGCACTCCATGCTACTACCCAAGGCCTTGACTCACACACCCACCGACACATAGCTAGTCCTGCCTGGCCCCGTGACCCCCCTATAGCTACGCACCGATGAAGAGCCCTTGCGGCGTGTTGGAGCTGAAGATGCCGCCCAGAATCATGGCAATTGCGATCTGCAGCACTCCGCCGCCCAGCGCCACGTTGTGCACCCCCTGCATCTTGGCGAGGCTGAACTCGACCCCCAGGGCGAACAGCAGAAACACCACTCCGAACTGGGCTAAAGTTTCCACCTGCATGGTAGATAGAGGAGCAGAGGAGGGAGAAGAGGGAGAAGAAGAAGGAATGTGCCTGAGAGCCACGTTGTGCCCCCCTGCACCTTGGCGAGACTGAACTCCACCCCCAGGGCAAAGAGCAGGAACACCACCCTGAACTGCGCTAGGGTTTCCACCTGCAGGGGGAGGAAAGAGAGAGGAGGAGGAAGAAGAGGGGGTCCGCATGCGAATAGAGGCACGTTGTGCACGCCCTGCACGTTGGCGAGGCTGAACTCGATCCCCCGGGCGAACAGCAGGAAGACGACTCCAAACTGGGCTAGGGTTTCCACCTGTGAAGGGTGGGTAAGTGGGTGAGAAGAAAGGCAATTGCAGGGCTTACCCTGAACCTGAACTGTTCTAGGATTCCAACCTACAGTCAGGAGAGGAAGGAGAAGTGTGTGTGTGTGTGTGTGTGTGTGTGTGTGTGTGTGTGTGTGTGTGTGAGTGAGTGTGTGTGTGTGCGTGTGAGTGAGTGTGTGTGAGTGTGTGTGCTTTGGTTGGAGCCACATTGTGCAGTCCCTGCATCTTGGCTCGGCTGAACCCCCATCAAATCACATATCAGCCATCCCAGCTCTCACTGCCCTGTAACAGCTCACGTGGTAACCCCACTGACCTGCACATACGATAACCCTACTGTCCTCCACCATGTGGTAACCCTACTGTCATTCACCATGTGGTAACCCTACTGACTGCTTTATAGGCTGTCTGCAACACTCATACGGCAACCCAACTGCCTTCAACCAATGTGGTAACCCTACTCGTAACAACAGACATGCAGCAACCTATAGGGCTTCATTAGTCCGCATGCCAGACCTCCCAGCACTCACCACCCTGTAACACCAATGCGATAACCCTAACCCTAATAAGCAATACCATGTGGTAACCCCTACCCACCTGCACGAGCTCGTGGATAAGGCCCAGCCTGCCCGGGCCGATGGCCATGCCAGCGACAATGTATCCCAGGATGATTGGCTGCCCCATCAGCCCACACGCCAGGCCTCCTAGCACCCACCGCCCTGTAACACCACATGTGGTAATCCTACTTACCTGTACTAGCTCGTGAATGAGCCCCAGCCCGCCCGGGCCGATGGCCATGCCAGCAACGATGTATCCCAGGATGATGGGCTGCCCCATCAGCCCACACGCCAGCCCGCCCAGCGCCGCCGCCACTATCACCTTCACAATGTCCGAAATGAGGGTGAAATCCTCCTGTAGCTGCATCTTCGACCCCTTACCGGGGCTGCTTATAACGTATTCGTTATCCTGGGAGTCTATGAGCCTAGGAACGTCCTTCTCGTCCTCCTGCTCCGCCTCCTGCTCTTTCTTGGTCTCGTTTCTAGCTGACGCTTTAGTGACGTTCTTAGGGGTGGGGCGCGGCGGGGGCGGAGGTGGCGGCACAGCATCTATCCCCAGGAGAATATCGAAAAACGACCGCTCTCCACCACCAGTCACCCCTCCGTCCCAGCTGTTCTTTGCCGCAGCAGCAGCTGCTTCCGCCTCCTGCTTCGCCTTCAGCTCCGCTTCCCTCTCCGCCTCCTCCTGCTCTTGCTTCTCTCGCTCCTCGCGCTCTTTCTCCTCCTTCTCGTGAACGTGGTGCTTCCCCACCCGCGCCACTGTCTCCAGAACCGCCTCCTGCTTTTCTAGGGTTTCGTTGAACTTCCCCCCCTCGCCTTCCATGTCATCCAGTCTTTCTAGAATCTTCTCCATCATTTCGCCCACGTTCTCGCCTTTGCCTCCTTTTCTCCCGCCGCCTTTCGCCTTCTTCTGCGCGCCATCGCCCTCCTCCCCTTCGTATTGATCCGGGTTATCATCCGCCGCACTCGCGCTCTCCTTCCCTGCTTTCCGGTCTCCTGTCCCTGCTCCCACGTCTCCCTCCTTTCCTCCGGATTTTCCCTTCTCCTCTCGCTTCTCCTCACCCTTATCCTTCCCCTTCTCCTTCTCCTTGTCGTCTTTCCCCCCGCCTTCCCCGGATGCCTTCTTTGATTCCTCCTCAGCTTTCTTACTCTTAGATTCTTTCTTCGGCTCCTTCACGCCAATCAGAATCGGAATCCCGTCCGCATCTCCGTCAGCGAGCATCTGGACCGTCTCTTTCTCCTCGACCTCCTCTTCAGCATCCTCGCCGTGCGATTTCGAATCTTCCGCTTTCCCATCACTTCGGCTTCCCGAATTCGCTGAAGAATTATTTTTCCCATCTGATTCTGTCCCCGTAGTCGACGGCTTCTCATTTGAATTGCTACCACCGATTCCCAGACTCTTCTCAAATTCCTCCATTTCCTGATCGATTCCTAACGCTCCTGAAACAATTCGTTCCCATATCCCTTGTGGATGATCGCCGGATTTCACCTCGTCGCCTTTCGACTTCTCGTCGCTGCTGTTGGTATCGCTGGAGGCTACAGGAGAGGAACCTAGGATCAGAAGAGTTGCCAGAAGAATCGGGTATAGCGAGATTCGACAAGGCTTGGTGGTAACATTGTAACATCGTACGCGATTGATGGGGTCTAATGTCCACACTTCTCTTAGTCCAGACATCGTTGCTTCAGAGGCGAGCGAGTTGCTTGCGAGAAACGCCACTACTTCGCAAACGACGGCTCTACATGGCCCTGTCACGCGCGAAGATACACAGCGTTGCCTATCAACCGAATGCGCCTATCTGGATGGAAGGTTGTTCGGTCTCTCGATTGGAAAATTCGTATTCTAGGCTCCTGGGGGCTGCAAATGCATATAAGGTAGTCCGAAGTCTGGAGATAGTCAATAGCGTAGTCTTGAGTGGCACTCAAATCGTGAGAGTAATTAGATAGTTTTGTTTTCCGTCTTCCTCCTATTCCGCAAAAGCCGAATTCAGCAGACCTTCGAAGAGCTTCAAGTATTGGGACCTTCAAAGAGCAGTTCCAAGAAATTATATGGGTGCTGTGCAATTTTGTTCTTCTGGTTCCGGTACTAAGGGGTTTGGTTCCGCTACCATTCCTCCATTCCCAGAGTTCAGTCCCTTCAAGTTTCTAGCCTTCGGTTGAGAGCTCCTCCACAAGCCACGTAAGCAAGCGGTTGTAAGGATGGGCGGCTAGTGCGCTGGTTGGTGGAGCCCAGGTTGTGACCTGCCGAAGGGCCCAAACGTGAGCGACATGTGACCTGACGTCCTTCATCTGCGGCTCGGCGATCTTGATAGTGCAATGCAATCTCAAGTCAGCCGTGTGACCAGGCTGTGTTTTCGCAAAGCTCATCGAAAATCAGCAAACAATTGGTGATATTTATTTATATATATTATACATCCGTTGTAGTCTAGTCGGTTAGGATACTCGGCTCTCACCCGAGAGACCCGGGTTCAAGTCCCGGCAACGGAACGTTTTTGTTTCACGTTACATTTCTGCAAACTTCCTCACGACTCACGGTAATGATAGTGTTTGAAAGTTTTTGTTCTGTACTTGAACATTTACTCCGTTCATGATACCTACTATCGCGGATTAGCGTGACAAACGGAAAGCTGTCTCCTTATCTTCACTTGTCCCACCAGTACAACCCCATTTGGCTAGCAGGGACCCGCATTTCCCTTCCTCACAGCGACCATGGCGTTGCACTGTCCGCAGGCAACGCTCCTGGCGACGGATGTCGTTTCCGCGCCGCTCCGCGCCTCCCGCGTGGCCCTAATTCCGTCCGCGCGCCTCTTCCCGGCTTTCCCCCTTCCATGTGGGCCCCTCAGGACAGTCAGTGCTCCGCTTGCGCGCCGAGCCGTTGCAATTCGGGCAGGGAGAGCGGTCGGATCCAATGATGCGCCTCCTCGAGCCGTTGGATCCGACAAATCTGACGTGATGCCCCCCCGTGAATCTGCTCCGCGCACCGCTGTTGGCGTTGACTGCGGTGACGTGGCGTCCGCCAGTCACGCATCGCCACGTGGCCGCATTATGTCCGCGGTCGCCGGCGCGTTGGTCGCGATTCATCTGGCCGCCGCGGCGAGTCCTCTCGAGGCCGCCGCCGCCGTGTTCAACGCCGGTACGAGCTCGTAATGCTGGGGTACGATCGCTCGGTTGATGCGGTTCTGAGACGTTTCATAACGTGGTTACGAACTAACGACGGGGTACGAACTCGTAATCCTAGGGTTAGATCGCGCGCTCGACGAGGCTCGTTTCTGGGAAAATATCAAACGAGGTGCTTCAAACTGGGGTTGTTCACAGGGGGTTTTTTAAGCGAGATAGCTTGTAACGACTCCAGCTGGAGGAACCGTGAGTGAGGGTTCAACCGAGGCGTGAGCTTGAAGCTGAAGCGGTTACCAAACACGCTGAATTCACCTCTATCTTCCTCCCTCCAGTCGTCTCTTCGCCTCGCTCCACCCTTGAGTGCAATTTTCAAATCCAAGCACTAGAGATTGCACCACTGCTTCCCCCCACTCCTCCCCACGGGTCCTCCAGCTGTCTCCCCCCGTTGACATTTCCTCGCCCCGTTCCCATTCCGCCCCTTACATGCCCTTGCCTTCGCTTTCCGCTTCCGCTCTCCCACCCTCCCCTTGCCAGCCCGACAGCCGGTGGCGCCATTTTTCCCCCTCACCCCTCCCTCCGCCTGTTCTTCTCCCGTCTTATTCATTTCCTCCTCCCTCCCCTCCCCATCCCTCACCCCTCTTGCTGGCATAAGTGGCAGCAACGGTGCAGTCGCCCTATGCCCCCTTCTCCTTCCCCCTTGATCTCTCACCTGCTGCTGCTGCTGCTGCTGCTTCCCTCTCCCCTCCCTCTCTCCGCCTCTCCCCTCCCTCTCTCCGCCTCTCCCCTCCCTCTCTCCGCCTCTCCCCTCCCTCTCTCCGCCTCTCCCCTCCCTCTCTCCGCCTCTCCCCTCCCTCTCTCCGCCTCTCCCCAGCCCACACATTGGTGGTGCCAGCAGCGATGCAGTCGCCATATGCCCACGCGCAGGAGGAGCAGGATAAACGGTAATAGCTGCTTCTCCACCTCCTCATCTCACCTCCTCTCCCTCTCCCTCGCCCCACCCAGTCCACTCAGCGTGGCAGCAGCGGAGCAGTCCCCCTATTCGCGCGCGCACGAGGAGCAGGATGGGCTGTTATCGCCACTTTCCACTCTTTCTCTCTCACAAATCCTCTTCCCACCCCACCTCCCCTCCCTCCCCCTCTTCCCATGCAGGCCAACCATCGGTGGTGGCAGTGGTGGCGGCAGGGGAGCAGTCGCCCTATGTGCGCGCGCAGGAGGAGCAGGATGAGGACGTGGGGCTGCTGGACGGGTGAGGGGGAGGGCTGGATGGATGGGCGGGTGAGGGGGAGGGCTGGATGGATGGGCGGGTGAGGGGGAGGGCTGGATGGATGGGCGGGTGAGGGGGAGGGCTGGATGGATGGGCGGGTGAGGGGGAGGGCTGGATGGATGGGCGGGTGAGGGGGAGGGCTGGATGGATGGGCGGGTGAGGGGGAGGGCTGGATGGATGGGCGGGTGAGGGGGAGGGCTGGATGGATGGGCGGGTGAGGGGGAGGGCTGGATGGATGGGCGGGTGAGGGGGAGGGCTGGATGGATGGGCGGGTGAGGGGGAGGGCTGGATGGATGGGCGGGTGAGGGGGAGGGCTGGATGGATGGGCGGGAGAGGGGGAGGGCTGGGGGGCTGATGGGCGGGTGGGGAGGGAAGCAGTGTGAAAAGAAGGGGTGCGTACGGGCGGGTGGGCGGGAGTGGCAAGGGGGGCCTGCGGTGTGCTGTACTGTGCCGTTCGTTATAGTGCCCTCTGCCCCTCCCTTCCACACCCCCCCCTCTCTCACCCTTCTTTCCCATTATCACTTCCCCCTCCCCTCACTCACAACCCTTCCTGCTTCCAGCACACCCACACACTACCTTTCTCTTCCCCTCTCCCCCCGTCCTCCTCGCCCTCTCCCACTCTCGTGTTTCTCAATCATCGAGTCACACGCTCCCGCCCTCCTCTTCAGTCACACGCTCCCGCCCTCCTCTTCAGTCACACGCTCCCGCCCTCCTCTTCAGTCACACGCTCCCGCCCTCCTCTTCAGTCACACGCTCCCGCCCTCCTCTTCAGTCACACGCTCCCGCCCTCCTCTTCAGTCACACGCTCCCGCCCTCCTCTTCAGTCACACGCTCCCGCCCTCCTCTTCAGTCACACGCTCCCGCCCTCCTCTTCAGTCACACGCTCCCGCCCTCCTCTTCAGTCACACGCTCCCGCCCTCCTCTTCAGTCACACGCTCCCGCCCTCCTCTTCAGTCACACGCTCCCGCCCTCCTCTTCAGTCACACGCTCCCGCCCTCCTCTTCAGTCACACGCTCCCGCCCTCCTATTATCCCCCTTCTTCTCCCGCCTTTCTCCTTACTCTCTTTCCCCCCCAGCACACTCTCCTTCCTTCCTTTTCCTCCCCTCCTCTATTCCATGCTTCCCCGCCCTCCCCCCATCAGTCACATCCGACCCACCAGTCACATCCGACCCTATCCCCCCACCAGTCACATCCGACCCTATCCCCCCACCAGTCACATCCGACCCTATCCCCCCACCAGTCACATCCGACCCTATCCCCCCACCAGTCACATCCGACCCTATCCCCCCACCAGTCACATCCGACCCTATCCCCCCACCAGTCACATCCGACCCTATCCCCTCTCTCTCTCATATCCATGCAGGGAACTTCAACCCACCTACGTCCCGTCCTCCTCCCTCAGCCAAGGTGTTCATATTCTCGCTTCCTCATCCCACCCCCCACCCCACCAGTTACAGCTGTCCCTGTCCCCTCTCACATCCACGCAGGGGCCTTCAAGCCCACCTAAGTGATGGAAGATTGGTTTTGAGACGTCTCCACGCCTACGTCTCCACACCTACGTCTCCACACCTACATCTCCACACCTACGTCTCCACACCTACGTCTCCACGCCTACGTCTCCACGCCTACGTCTCCACGCCTACGTCTCCACGCCTACGTCTCCACGCCTACGTCTCCACGCCTACGTCTCCACGCCTACGTCTCCACGCCTACGTCTCCACACCTACGTCTCCACACCTACGTCTCCACGCCTACGTCTCCACACCTACGTCTCCACACCTACGTCTCCACACCTACGTCTCCACACCTACGTCTCCACACCTACGTCTCCACACCTACGTCT